CCAAACATGTTTTTGAGCATGACAGGAACAGCAACAAAATTGAAAAGCTACAAAATACAAAAACAAAAAATAAAAATAATAATAAAAGAAAACAGCAAAATTCAAAATCGTCGCCAAAGACGTTGCAGATTTCAAAATTCAAAAAATGCACTAAAATTCAACAAAATTACGAACTGAACCAACTTACGGTTTAAAGCTCTGAAGAACAGCAGCAACAAAATATTGCAAAAAACAAACCCCAGAACCACAAAAACAGGAAAGGTTTTCTCTACTTTATTATGCCCAAATAAAACAAAACAAAACAATAATGAAATAGAAAAGAAATCATAAAAAAAATGCTTAAGAGTTTTTGTTATTGAACCCTTTGTAAATGTTTAGGTGTAAAAAGAACATAAGAAGAATAAAAACATGGACAGTACTTAAGTTAGATGTTGGTGAGGCAAAAATTAATATAAATGAAATTAAGAAGTGTATGTAAAAATTGTAGACAGGAAAAATTATAAAATCTTAAAATCGAAATTCAGTCCCTAATAATTAGTTCTAATAATGTATATCCACTAAACATATGTAATATGTAATATATATATCAATGAATATATAAAAATGTGTACCCGACTCTCGCTATTTTGTGTTGACTAACTTTGCGATGACCTAAGATTTGCGCTCAATTTCCCTGTACAATATATCGATTGTTTGAACGAACCGGTTTTTAGTTGGCTTTATAGATTATTCATCGGCAATTTTCTTAGTTATTTCGGTTACAGCATGGCAATACCAATTTAAAAGCAAATGAGTATGATATTTTTGTCACTGTTTTCGACAATCCAATGCATAATAAAAGAGACGACAAGCAGAGCAAATGATTTTTGGACCAGGCCAAAAGCGTTGGCAGTTCTCAAGCCTGAAATAAAACCAAACTGCATGGCAGTAGCCCGAACAGGAACCGAAGGGGTCTCGACTGCATGCATGCTCTGGATCCATCCAAGACCGTTTTGCAACAATAGCACTGAAGGCAATACAAATTCAAATATAAATGGTTTACCATACAGGCAACAGAAATGTATATATATATATATGCACACACATATATATATATGTATATATATATAGAGTAGATGCAGATGCAGAAGCAGAGCAAAAGACAAGGTAAAGACATGTTTCGAATCTAGGAATTTTGGCAACATTTCGAACAAGAATCTTTCGGCGAGTTTCGAACAACTTTCGATTACTTACGCTTTTGTTGTTAATTTGTTATTTTGCGACTACGTCTCCACGCACACCACGCACCAAGCACAAAAAGAACAAGAACAGATACCAAAGTGATAAACGAGTAAAGCAAAAGTTAAACGCAATTTTTGATATGGGGCCACAACGTCCGATCTAAAGTGCCTTCATGTAACAAAAAACAAGTAAAAACCAAAAACAAAATCTGTTAATTTTTTATGTAACTAAAACGGAACGAATGAAAAAAAAAAAACAAAACCAAATGAAATTATTAATAAAATTGTATAAAAATTAAAAAATTGTAAAAAGTTATAACAAATTTAAAAATCTAAGCAAAATATACGAAAAAGGGCTCCAAATAGACCAGCATTCAAGCAAATACCAAAACTGCTCAACATATTTGGCCTGGCCACACAGTCGCTCGGTATTACGATCACCCATACGAGTATTCTAAGTTCGACAACAAAATTTTATCAAGGATAATAAAGCGCAAATCTTAAGTTAAACCGAAACCCAACTAGCAAAGTTGTCCATTGACTACCTAATTAAGCGATATACATACATAAACGTATATTTAGTTATAGTTTGTAAACGAAAATGAAATTACACAAAAAAGTCAACAATTATGTATGAAATAAATGATTTAGAATTTAGAAACGAAAAGAGGTTTGGATATACATTGACTACTTACGAAGCATATACCTACCACATAGCGATGAGTTGCTCATTAATGAATGTATTACTTTCTATCGCACACGTACACACGCACACACACACGCACACACAAACACGCACACACAATACACTCTACTACATTTAGTTTAGATCTTAGGTGGAAATAAAATACACACATATTAAAATCGAAAATTAAGCTAAACGATTGCAAGAGTACTAAGAACGGCATACTTAAGAGGCGGCAATAAGCTATAATGCAACTAAATTTAAGCTTAACTCAACTACCGATACGAGAAAACAAAAACAAAAGAAAAAAAAAGCAAAAACAAAAAAAAATGAAATATGATAAACATTTAAAAACAAAAATGGAAAAATTGAATATTTGCATGTGCATACGAATATAGGAGATAGAGGCTAGCAATGAGAAGCAAAGCAGTTCACAAAGAACGGAGACATATACAAAACTAAAAGACTAAAAGAAAACCGAGTAAATACGAATGTCCCTTTTGTGCTTCTTTCCCCCACTTCACAACTCACACAAACACACACGCACAGACTCACACACACACACACACACTCACACACACACACACAAGGAAAAGTAACAAATATTTGCATTATTCAGTTTAGAATATTGAGTTGTGAGTTTAACGTACTTCGAAACATTTTGAAGAAAACCAACTAGCAAAAATTAGCAAAATTTAAAATTTACAATTTACGAACATTAAATTTAATTTATGAATATGCATTCATTTAAAGGTGTTTAGACGCACACACTATGTATATAAGTATGTATGAATATTCATTTATCGATTATGGATTACGAATTACGATTTACCATTTACGATTTACGATTTCGGAGCTGAACACAAATACAAAACAAACAAAAAAAAACATCCAATTATTCTTTTCATCAGCATATGTATGCGTACATATAAGGATCGAAAGCAGGAACAGGAGTAAATGTGCAAGGGTTTTGCTTAGAACCTTTTAAATGTATTTAACCATTTCGGCAACATTACGACATTAAAATTTATAATCTTTGGGCCATATTGAGAAGCATCATTTTCGATACACTGATGCGAAAGTTTAAAATTAACTTAATACCAGAGCCAAGTCAAACAAAAACGAACAACAAAAAATCAATTTTGTTTTAATTTTAGCAAAAATAAATTAATGAAAACAAAAACAAAAAATATTTAGTTATACAACAATAGACCGGAATTATTTCCAAGAAATAGTACAAACAACTTTAGAAATAACTTTTATAATGTAATTATAAAATAAGCGGCAATTGCAGCGCTCTAAAAATATGCCAGACAAACAAAGTTCTGAGGGCTTCAAAAAATGACGAGATGACCAAGCTGAAAGCGTAAAGCAGATGAAATTTTCGAATATGAAATTGACAGATTTAGAGCGCTGTTAAGAAACCATAAAAACCAAGTCCCTCAAAAGCATATACGATTTTTGTTTATTTCATTTTAACTTAAGCACACATTTAGTTGAATGTATTATGATAACTAAGCGAAATTGTTTGCCTACAAAACAAAAGAGCCTGGCACTAATCATATTTTCGAAATTCCTTCTTGACCGAATTCAAGATACAATTATATTGTATTCACTTTTATATGCAGAACATCATTTCAAATGAATTACCCTCTTCAAGTAATAACAACTAAATTACGATACATACATATGTAAACTTTACTTTCAACACAACGTGGAAAGAAAGATAGCAGCAGTGAGAGATCAGAAAAAAAAGAAGGCAGACAATTTAAATTATAAGTATATGTAATAACAATAGACGAGCATAACCTTTTATGCTACCCTACCCCAAAGACCAGAAATACACACACACACACACACACACACACACACACACTCCAACACACACACACAATACTATTTACCACAATAAACATATATACATATATATGAATGTAATACGCAAGATGCATCGCATACACAAATCGAAAGTTTCAAAATCCATGATGACTGCGTATAATGCATAATATATTAACTTTATATGATTAAATCATTTCGAATGCAAAAACTAAATCAGAAATATATAAATGTGTGTATTCGCAGCAAATAGACAGACATGCATATATATTGTATAGATTTCGATTTCGATATCGGTTCCGTTACAATATTACTTTACTAGCTTTGGTGTATCTTTTGGAATTTTCGAAAAAAAAAAATGTTTGGACCGTAAAGCAGAAGCCAAATACGTGGACTTACACAAAAATTTGTAATTTTCTCGTAAATAAAAAAATCTAAAATTATGATTTGTATTTCGAGACAGCATTTAAAGTAAACATAAATATAACAATTAAAAAAACACCATAGAACGTAATACAGCATTAAAAAAAATGTGTAAAAGAAAAATTAAATATTTGGGATATAAGCAAAATATGATTACATAAATTTATATTTATGCAGCAATTGTAAGGAAAAAACGAATAACGCGGGAAGGGAAGGTAAAAGAACAACAACAAAACACTAAACTATAATAAAACATTTTTAATCGAAAAAAAAACTACTTATTTTATTGAAAATTATGTAAAATTTACTAAAACAACAAAAACACATAATAAAAGTATATTGTTTATTTTCATCTTTCAAAATAAAGTTTTAAAATCGTATAAAAATAGTAAAAAAAAATGCTCAAGTTTTATTTGCGGATGGACGGGAAGAAAAGCTCAAGATGCTTTGTTTTTTATGGCTAATCCTTGTTAGGATAGTGCCTTTAGACTTAAATGCATTTTTCGACAGGATGCATTGTCAGACAGTGTTGCAGACGAAGTAAAAATATTCAAACTCAGCGCCTTCTCATATTCTACTGTTACATCAATCATATGAACCAAAAAATTGTCCGGCAGCATCGCAGCGTTGCCAGTGCGTTGCAGCCCTGACCATATATTTAGAAATCGACAAGATGCATTGTCAGACAGTGTTGCAGACGAAATAAAAATATTCAAACTCAGCGCCTTCTAATAATCTACTGTTACATCAATCATATGAACCATAAAATTGTCCGGCAGCATCACAGCGTTGCCAGTGCGTTGCAGCCCTGAACATATGTTTGGAAGTTGATAATCGATATACTTCAATGAAACACCGACGGTAAGAAGCAGCACATTACGCAAACGGTATTTCGGCTTTTAGCTCAATTGTTTACTAAAAATGTCGCTCCTCAGCGCAATATCCAGGTAATTGTTCTAAAACAATATAAATTAACAGCCTACTCTTAATATAGATACACATTTCATACATAAATAGGTTGAGTCTGCAGAGCAGCAGTCTTGCCGCACGTTGCCTTCACACAACGCCCGTACTGTGCGCTGAACCGTTAAAGAAAAAGAAAAAACTTGACCCGCAGATAATAAAACAGAGAGAGGACCGCAAGAAAAAGAAAATCGAAAAGCAAATACGTAGGCTTGAAAGGAATGCGCGTCAACTTAAGCCGGTGGAAGAACTGGAGGTGCCTTTAGATTTAATTGACGACAAGGCGTAAGTTGGTTGCTTTCTGAAGAACACGCTCCAATTGCTGCTTAATTTCTTTCTCTTTCTGTACAGGAAACGGGAACGAAAGCTTACACCTTTGGGCATCGCGGAGCTAGAACAGCGTGCACTTCTTAAGAAACAATGGGCGCACTACAAGCACGATGAGAAGGTGGCAGATTTCCAAATCATTGACCGCTTGCTGCAGTCTCAAAACAAAACGCTAGAGGAACTACGTCGTGAGTCCGAGGAGCTTTACCAAGCTGCTATAGAAATAGACACGAAACTGTTGCCGGTCGCTGTGAAAGGGCCTGTCGCAACGCCTCCTATCAAAAACTATGTAAGCCCCGATGGCGACTACATACACCAGTCCATGAAGTGGGAATAAACGGGATTTTTGTCTAATTAGGGAAAAAAAAAGTTGTTAGTTTGTTTAATGCAATTAAAAACAATTAAATAAATGCATATACATCTGTGTCAATTTACTGCCTTCTCTTATTAAAGAGGTAAGCCAGTTCTCTCGCTGAAGAAGCCCTGATCTGACTATATAAAAAGATATATATTTTAATCCAAAATATATTGTTCCTCCATCGGCTTGCTTACTCTTGAGGCCCAATCTCGTATGTTATGTTGACGCCCATTTTCTGCATTGTATGTGTTTCATATTTATTATTATCGAGAACAAGAGTTAAACAAGTACAAAATGCAATTGGCGTATCCTTAGATTTTTTCTTCTTTAATTTTGAAAGCACTGCTAGCTGATTATATGTTTTGTTTAATGTTTATCGGGCGTCGGAAATCAAAACAATATATTTTCAAACAAATAAATAATATATATAAGGGACAACACCCGATTTACCTTGCGTGCTTTTTTTTTTTTAAGTTTTAACCTCTACGGGTTATCTACGAGGGCGTACTATTGGCATTAGTTTTGGCCGCGGCCTGCCGCTTTTTAACACCCCAATTGTAGACCCGCGCCATGTTAACCTCGGTTGTGGTTATTTGATCTCTGTAGGAATGGGAGATACGCATAAATATACAGCACCGCACAAAATCTTAACTCACCTAAGGAAGTCCTGGTCGTGCTCCACTGACTTAAGATTGCCCACAGCAGATGTAATATTTTGCTTTAAGAGCGCCTCGGCCTCGTCTAGTGGATACTCCAGCATGACGCTGGCTCCCAGCCAGAGATAAACTGTTTTTGTGGGCGGCACCAGCGTCTTGATGAACACCTGGTCACTGAGCAAGAATTGCGTTTCGCGCTCCTCTTTCTCTTTGCGCAGCACATTCACCATCTCCAACGACCGCTCCAGATCGGGAATCTGAGATTTTAGCTTGCGGCGGCGCGCCTCCAAGTTGTAGGCCATGAATCGATACTTTCCATGTTGTTCGTCCAGCCGTTGCAACACCTTTTCACAATTCTCGTTCTCGGGTTGTGTCATAAATGTATCAATTTCCTCCTGCAAACAGAACACGGGTGGATGATTAATATGGAAAATTGTCTACAGATGTTTTGGCTGTGGTCTACATCTAGGTTAGAATTGGAATTGACTCAGCGGCCGACGACGCCTGCAACATGATACTCACTAAAAATATTGCTTCGGGTATTCCCGCAAAAGTTTTTTGATTTTCCGGTAATTTAGGCATTTCTACTGTATCCATGATGCCCGTCATTGCTTTTATTTAATATTTACTCTTATAAATTGTAATAAATTTACAGCAGGTCAAAGGCGGCAGCGGCAGAGCAAGGCGATGGTATTAAAAGAAGTGCTGTACAACGACTGCATGTATGCTTTTTAAATATGAAAGTACTTAACAGTTACTCTTACCAATATTATTGCAACCTTAGGGTATGACGTTAAATAAATTCCTAATAACTTTACTTTATTCGTAAAAAGCATTGGCATTACAGTACAAGGTAAATATTGAAGCTTGCCACGCCCTAAAATATAATTTCAGTTGAAGAATTATTTAAATTACAGTTTTTTCACTATGACTGTAAAGTCACAGTACTACACAGTGAACGCACGAGCAGTGTTGTAGAACAGAAAAATAAGTTTGAACAGAACTAACAGCAGTTCACATGTGCTACGATCTGCTGCGGCAAACATCACCTTAGCGGCTTTGTGTATTTTTTTTATATTTAATTTTGATACTCTGTCATGTCGAACGACGAAGGTGGCGTAGGTGTTGCACGCGGTGGCGGCGATTCTGTTAAGCAAGCCATCATCGAGGAACTACAGAATCTGCTGAGCTCGGACACAAGTGTTTTGCAACAGGCGGAAAAGCGTAACAAGCAATTGCAATACACAGAAGGTATGATGCATGCAAATTGGCGGGCAAAGCCAGGCGTTGTCTGCTTCATGCTAACGGCTTCGAATTGCAGGGTATGGCGTCTACTTGTCGGAGATTATAATGAATCAGTCGCACGAGCTACCGTTGCGTCAAATTGCCATTATAATGCTGACGCGATACGTGGAAAATCACTGGACAGATCTCGATGAGACGGATAAGGCAGGCGGTCATATGGCCACCGAGCAGGCCAAACGCACAATACGTAACATATTGCCCAATGGCCTCTACGACCCCAACTCTAAGATACGCTCTTCGGTGGCACACACAATATCTACAATAGCAGCTACCGATTATCCACACTGCTGGGCGGAGCTCTTTGACATTATTGTCAAGTGTCTGGGTGGCAATGAGGATTCCATACATGGAGCTATGCAAGTGCTGCAGGATTTTACATACGATGTTGAGCAAATCAAGGATCTTGGTCCAGTGGTCATACCCGAGGTGTATCGCATTTTCGACTCGGAGCAAAACTACTCAATCAAAACGCGCGTCTCCGCCATACGAACCCTGAAACAGCTCTTTATGTCTATCTCGGCGCTGATAACTGACAAGCAGGAGCAGAGCTCCATGATGAGTTCCATACTTACGAACTTCATGGATAAGCTTGTGCATTATCTGAGTATGAATTGTGGCGCTGGATCCAGCTTTTTGCTGCGCTCCGAAATCATTAAAGGTCTGTAATCTGTTAATAAACCCTGCGACAGTTTATAATTTCGGTTTTAATTTGCAGTGTTCACTTATCTGGTAACCGATATGCCAAAATACATTAATCCCTTCATGGAGCGCATATTGCCAATTATCTGGCAGTTGCTTACACAAATTGCAGAAACTTACGTGAAGGTTTCCGTTAATCAGACGGAGGCAAATCCGCTGGCGAGTGGCGAAAACGAAGAAGATGATGAGCAGACCAATTTCCAAACGCTGATCATACAAATCCTCGAGTTCATAAACTGCATTGTCACATGTGGGAAACTGCGTGGCAACATTAAGAATGTCCTTGCCGATTTAATCTACATAACCATCGTATACATACAGCTCAGTGAGGAGCAGTTGGAGGACTGGCAAGAGGACCCCGAGAAATTCGTTGACGACGAGGACGATGGCGGTGTCGAGCTAACTGTACGCATGTGTGGCCGTGATGTGCTGCTGGTGAGTCACTAATATTAACTATATATACAAACTATTTTCGAAATATCAAATGGGAGGAAATGTATCAATTGCATATCAGCTAGAAATGCTATATTAAAGTTGTACTGTGTGTATATATCAATAACCGTCTGTCTGCTTTTAAAACCGCGCCAATTCCTAAAGCTTTAAAAGGTGTGCACTTTAGTCAGGGCTGGTTGATTTTTAACCATATATGTATGTGTGTATACATGTATGTAGACATCCCTATGATGGTAGGCATATATGCGTTAAATAATGTAGATGATGGCCAATATATTTCCGCTCTGATATATTTCATATACAGGCCATAAATGACGAGTTCGGAGTGAAGGCCATTCAGCCGTTGCAGGAAGCACTGGGCCGGCACTTTAGCGTGGCCGAGGCAGAAAAGGCTGCTAACAATCCGAATTGGTGGAAGATTCAAGAAGCCTGCATGGATGCTGTTCATGGATTTCGTGACATAATACTCGAGGGCGATTCGAAATTTGACTTGCTTAATTATCTGACAATCGTTCGTAATTTGCTAGTGCACCAGGAATCGCCCCATCTGGTCGGACGTGCGCTCTGGACCCTGAGCACATACTCTAAGTCAGATTTGTACAATCCGCAAATGATAAGCGAAATTCTGGACGTAACTCTGTGCAGTCTATCGCCGGATAAGTCGCACATATTACGCATCAGTGCCGTTCGCACCTTGCACGGCTTCCTGCAAGCTAACGAAGATGTCGAGGGGGAGAAACGTACATTACTTGTCTCCAAGTTACCTGGTTTCCTAGATGGTATTATGACCCTTGTGCCCGGCTGCAAGGCCACTGTTCTGGCGCTTATAATGGAGGCTCTAACAATGATGGTCAAGTTTGATGCGGACTTTGCGTACGCAATGCACCCCAAGATCACACCCCTGACCATTGCAGCCTTCCTGAAATATGCTGAAGATCCGTTTGTTTTGGAGAACGTTCAAGATCTGATCAAGGCGCTCTGCCAGCACAAGCAGTGTCTGGGATCGCTCCAAGAGAAATTCATACCCACCATTGTAAGCATACTAGCGCTTCAGGGTGAACAATGCGCCGAGAAGCAGGATATTGCCCTGGATGTGCTAAATACAATTGTCAGGTACACGGAGCCGCCTCTGCCCAATGTCCTGCTGGAAACAGCATTTCCCGCGATGATCAACTGTGTGCTGCACACTGACGATCACACCGTAATGGTCGCTGGTGGGGAGTGCCTGCGCAGCTTCATCAATGTTTCACCGGAGCAGATCTGCAACTATAAGAATGGCGAGGGCGTCAACTATGTCATGCAGGTGGCAACTGTTTTGCTAAATCCCATGAATGCCGAGATGACAGCCGGTGGTCAAATTGGACGATTGGTCATCACCATTATCACCAAAATGGGTAGCATGCTTGGTCAAACGGTTGATATGCTGCTAAAGGCAGTCATCAGCAAGATGCAGAACCTCGAGTGCCTCAAGGTCATCATGAATTTGGTGCTCATATTCGCCCATCTGTTCCTTACCCAAATGGATGCTGTGCTAAACTTTCTGTCTACAGTGCCTGGACCCAATGGCGAGCCTGCCTTACAGTTTGTTCTGACTAATTGGCTGTCGCGACAGAACTCCTTCTTTGGTGCATACGAACGCAAAGTATGTACATTTCTCTATAAACCTATTATTTTATGGACTGACAACTGAAACAGATGTATGTATACCTTTATTTCTCAACAGGTCACAACGATGGCTCTGTGCAAGCTTTTCGAGTACGGCGTAGCAACGCAGGACAATCGATTGACGTCAATTACGTACAAGGAACTAGTGGATGAGCCGAGCGGCGATCGCATACGCACACGTTCAGTTGCGTCCTCATATCAGAAATGGATTACGATTCCCGCACTTGTGAAGATATTTAAAGTGCTCATATCCGAATATCAGCACTTCCAAGAAGGCAAGACGGATGCGCCGCTTACAGATTCCGAGGATGAAGTCACCGAGGAAGATGATGCTGCCGGCAATGCCGCCAAGCCACGCTACATCTCCGACCTGTGTTTCGATTTCGATGAGGACAATGTAGAGGATGAGCAAGTGCTGCAGGTACTGCTGAAGGAGTGCAACTACACAGGCGACATTGGCGAGAATTTGCAAAAGTTTCTCACCAACTTCGCACAAAATGAACATTTTCCCACATTTTACGAACATCTCAATGAATCCGAGCGCCTCGTTCTGCTAGCCAAAGTGCAGCAGAAGTAATTAAAGCGGCAGCCCCATCGACTATCAAATTTAAAAATGTGTCTCACAGCCCATTGTGTTAATCGTTTATAATTAATTGTTATCAAGCATTTAATAAATGAATACCTTTATATTTGTAACGTACATTTATATAAAAATCTAAACTAGCTGGCCTGATCGTCATTAGTTGACTTATTAAGACTTAGTCTTAAATGACTCATTAAGACTAAGTTGGAAGATAAATGGTAGCCACATATTTCTGACATTTGATTCAGGTCCAAGATAGACTTCGTTTTTGCTCGGGTCCGCAACTCGGTCACTTGATTGGCATCTGGCCAAGAGAGGAAGTGTTATGGGTTAATACTCTCAATGCTCTCATTAAGTTCTGAAGTTCATTTAAATGTATGCGTCTGCACAAAAACAATGCGCACAAAATGAGATTTTTTAAATTTCGGTGCACTTTTGCGAACTTGTTGTTGATTGGCCCAATTAGGAAACATATATAGGATTTTTTTGAAAAATATTTATAGACACTTATGTATATTTTATATGTATATATATTCAATATTATATTTGATTTTCATATCACGACCAACTAAAGAGCCACCTCATCGCTGCATAGCTTGTGCTGCAGCGGAATTTCGACCTTGTAAACCTTTTAAAAAGTAAATATAAAATGAATTTATGCTCATTAAGATGAGTTTCTATACCCACCGTTGGCTTGAGTGAATCAAACTTAAAGTACTTTCGAATGCAAGGTGTGAGCAGTACAGGATCCACTTTGTTGGGATTGTTAGTGCCAAAGACTAGAGTGCTGAGCAGTGCAATGATTATAGTAACTGAGGCGCCCAAGGTCGTATACCACATATATGATATCCGATACAATGGGAAAATATCCCTAAAATACACCAAGCATAACAAGTAGTATAGTAATAATATCAATGATGGCCAGGGAGGCTGCACTTACTCCGCTGATGGCCCATTCATATGGGTGGCATTGGTGGCGCTGGACACCAGAGCAGCTGCATCGAAACTGTAGCTGCACTGTTCAACGTTTAATGGTTTGGTTTGATAACGAATGGCGCCCGATGCGATGGCCCACTGTGCATTCAAGCTTACCCAAGACATTACAACGACTCCCACGCAACCGCCGAGTATTGCGCTCTAGGGGAATAACAAATTTCTTGAAAGGTTCTTAGGGCATATTGTGAAACATTTGAGACTCACATTGCCATTAATCCAGGGCATAATTAAGCCCATGGTAAAGATGCCGAAGAGTGGCCCATTTGTGATTGACTCTAGGCTCATGGTCAGCTGCAGCACAGTACCCATATGCTCCACAACATAAACTAGCGCCACGCAGAGCACTCCTATGCCCACTACGACCAGACGCATGATCCAATTGGTGGCCCGATTTGTTAGCGGTTTCTTAACATACGGCTTCACAAAGTCTTCCAATACCACAGCGGACATTGAGTTCAGACAGGTTGAGAGTGAGCTTAGAGCAGCGCTAAAGACGCCAGAAATAAATAGACCCGTCATTCCAGGCAGCTCGCCCAGCGTGTCCATGACAAAAAGCGGCAAAAGCTGATCCCGTGCCTTCGCCAGCTGTTGATGCAGTTAAATGGTATTCAAAATAAAAACCATACCCTGACTTATTTACATACATACCTTGGTAGTTAGTGGATCACAATTTTGATATGTCGCATAGATGAGCAGTCCGTTGTAGCCACACAAGGCCATCAGGATCAAGACTCCGGTACAAAATATGACCAAAGCCTTGCGTGCATCCGCCAACGTGGGCAGCGATAGATAGCGTTGTATCATGTTCTGGGAAACTGCGTTGGTCTGCGTCCAGTAGACAATGCCTCCAAAGAACAGGCACCAGAATGTGTGACGTACTGTGGGATCAATACTAAGGCTACAAGAGCATGCGAAACACTTTAAAGCTTATTTGGAAACATTTGTGTACCCACATTGAAATAAGTATAGCTTGTCATGAAACTGTAACGCATAGAGGCAGTTCGGTTCTGACTTTTACTTAATTGATGCAGCTTCTAAATAAGCAACACATCAACACATTAGATTACTATATAGAAAACATGTCTGCTTTGAAGATCTCATGACTGAGCCCAGCAATTACACGCGTTACCATACAAGCGATAGGTCTACTAGGGTATTAGCTGTTCGGCGAGCCGAAAATAGTCATTCAACTCACTCGGGTGCCTCCAATCTGTTCGAGTGCCAAGCACGCTCCAATACCACACTAGCGCCGCCAATATCCAAGCTGCCCTTTATAGCGACCAAAGCTAGGGCGCCCAGCATGGACACTGCCTGCACCACATCCGTCCAGACGACGGCCTTAAGGCCGCCCATGCTTGTATAGAACACGCAAATGATGCATACAATCGGCGTAATGGTGTGCACACCTACTCCAGTTACCTGGTTGAAGGCAAGTGCCGGCACATAGATCACAATGGGCAGATAGGCTACCTATAGATAATAATTTAAATGAGACTTGGTGCATAATATTTGTAGAGTATTTGCAATGCTTACATTCATAATGGCAAACATTATGGAACCAAAAAGACGCAGTCGACGATCAAAGCGAACCTCCAAATACTATAAGAAAAGGGTATTTTTTTTTATGATTCTAGAATTAATTAATTATCCTAACTATATGAATATATATATCTTCATGACGTAAACAGTTCTTTATCATTTGTTAGCAAAAAAGCAAACTCAACAAATATAGGAAAGCGTGCTGTAGACGAAACTGCACAGCCTGGAAATACCCTGTATTGTAACATTCAGTCGTAAAATTAATTTCGCAATCTATTGATGAAAGATACAAACTTAGGACTAAGCCTTAAAATTTGTTGTTTCAATTTTTGGAGCAGCAGGGGAGGTTTTGCTTGAGATACGCATAATACATGCCAAATTTGATGTTCTAAGTCGTGATTAAGGACAGACCTTAAAATCAGTCAACATTATTAAGTTGAAGTCTCTAACGTATCAGGTCCATGAGATTAAGATGCATTCGAGTTATATTTTTACCCATGCGAAATATATATATTCAACAAAATTTTAAAAGAGTTTTACAAAGTAACATTTAAGTGGAAAAAAGTAAGCTATCTGTAAAACTCTCTTTAATTCATTCAGGTTGTTGACTCTTAGCTTACTGTGCTTACCTCATAGGTGGACGTAATGTTAAGATCATGAAAAACGGGCAAATAAAAGACTCCCATCACAATTCCCATGCCTATGACGCCGAGGGATACATATAGATACTGTATACCATACGAGTACACTTCGGTGGGCAGTCCAAGTAATGTAATGCCAGAAATAAAGCTGGCCACCAGTGAGAACGCAACGGGCACCACCAGCATTTTGCGGCCTCCCAGCATGTAATCATCCTCGGAGACGGATTTGTTCATGAAACCAAAGTAGATGCCAATGCCGATGCAGAGTAGAAACATGGCCACAAACGCAACATAGTCGGGCCATGCAAATCGCTGCAGCACTCCCAGAACATCGTCGATATTATTCATTTTTCAAGTTCCGATCAGGGGTTTTAGCTCTCTGCGGTCACAGCTTGGACTAAGGCGCGCTGCGTTTACATCTGTCTGTGACTCACTGAATCGGTGGGTTCCATTCGCTGTGCTGGGCGCTAGTCGGCTCTGTGATTCAATCCAATTTCGCTCAATTGTCAATTGTCGGGCAATTTAGGTTTCGGGCAGCACACAAAATCCACACACATGGGTTTATTTTAGTTAATCAGTTCCCGTGCTTTACTTAGAGAGAATTGCGACACTTCAGCGTCCAGTTGCAACATATTCATAGCTGTGACCTTACATATAAAGTGATTTTGGGGCCTGTCTATATCTGGATAAAATTGTTGACCCCCAAAACGCACAAGAAATTTGCATAATTTATATTTCTCGCATGCCAAACAATGACCAACGACTAGTACTAAACGTGTATTATTTATATTAAATTATGGAAAAGTTTTCATTTTATAAAGCGAATGGATGTGAGAAATAAGATGGCATATCGTTGTACTAGCTCTTTTTTTTTTAGCTTGTATGAACTTGGGATGGATACCGATTTCCTACGTAATAAAAAAAAAAAAAAAATTATTTGGCACAAAAAGTAGATAACCTAAGAGAAAATAGGAATGCTTGGGTCAATCAATTTAATCGTAGGAAGTAAATGTGCTCTCGTCCACAGTCCGACTAGAAGTTACCCTGTACCCAAAAGCAAAATGAGAAGAACTTTAAAATAGATCCACAACGCCACTCACATACACAGACACACACACACATACACACACCCACCAAATGGAAAATGCATTTGTAGTTAACTTTGGTGATTATAGGCAAAACTTAATGCAAATTTCAGGTTTGAATATGGAGTCCCAATATGTGTCTATACTAACCCAAGATTATCCATACAGGCTTTATATTTTAATTTTTCTAAATCTCTTGTCTACCATCTTTAAAAAAGATATGGCTAATTCGAGTCGACTATTAATGCTGACCAAAAAATGATTTACTTTGTAGGGTGGAATATGCTACCGTTAACCTGTTACATACATAAGCACAAAACTATTAAGTCCGTATTACCCATTTGTAATGGGTACAGGGTATAAAATTCAAAATATAACCTCTATAGTATTATTGAAAAATGAACAACAGTGCTATTAATGGATAATAATTAATTTGAATTCGCTTAATATTTGAAGGAAAAAAACATGATTAAGACTATATTATATTGATATTTTTAAACCAAAAATGGCTCGGCAGTGTCGGGAACAATTTAATACATAATTTCATTAAAACCTTACATTTTCAACTTTACAGAATCTACACGGTTAACAGAATAGACTTTCTTACTTAACGGAATTAATTTCCCAATCCCACATAATAAATTATCGACAAATACATTTCGGATGCAATTTATCGACGACTTATCGGCCTGCCGCCACAAGATTAACAGCGTTGCGGTGTACAAATTGTAATTTGTTGTTTAAATTATTCAAGCAATATATTAAAAGCAAATAATGTTGGCGAATCCTTCATCTGGCAGCGTGCCCGACAAGGC